AATGTTTCTCTTTTTTTGAGTTCTCATATTCCTCTTCTCTTCTTTTTTTTCATGAAAAAAAAAATTATGATTCAATAAATTTGAAATTACAGGAATGCCTCAAGCAATATGTGGACCAGAGAATATAACGATCGAAGGTACGACCGAAGAACTATTTGAGGGTGTTGTTTTTATCAAGAATTGGCGACGGACGAATGGATGTGCGGCAATCTATTCGCTTAGCGAAAATACTACGACACCCTCACTTTCAATTCCGTTGAATCGTATTGCTCAGTGCGGTTTGGTGCTTCAAAGGAATGTAAGCATTGGTATCATTTGGATTAATGTAATTAGCATTTATCAAATTTTTTATGATAAGACAAGTTTTCTATGGAAGGCTAATTTTATCATGCAATATCTGCTGTAATGATAAAGTCTGCATGATAGTTGCAAAAGCGATAAGAAAGTTGCATTAGCGATATAATAGCTCCGTTATTGATAAAGTAATAACGTAAACGATGAAAAAATTGTTCTTGTGATAAAGCAATTATATGGACAATAAGTTAGCTATTTTAATAAAATATATTATTATCATCACCAGTATAATTCCATGTTATATTTTAATAATATGAAATTATATTGGTAATGATAATAATATATTTTGATACTAAAGTACATAATTCAACAAGTTTGAAATGTAATTAATTTTTTCAAATATGAAATGTAAGAAGTAATAGGGTTGATATTTCAATATTAAGAAAGTTATGCTATAAACATATAATCACATTTATTTGAAACATTTATGGGGTAATTCGTTCTAACTCGCTAATGATGCGTGCACCTGCATAACTAATCTTTAGTTCCTCTCAGGCAGTATTAATCATTGAAAAATAGATTATCATTTAATTGATCCAATCATTAAGGTAAATATATTTGTAAAAAAAAGAGCGAAACATTTTTGATTTCTTACAACGTTGCTACATCAAAACGTTGTTACTTTGCATCAGCTGCAGTTGAGAAGCAAGAAATGGTTCATTAATTATACATAAAGATAATTAGATGAAGTCAATGCTTATGGATTAGAAAAGAATTGGATAATAAAATTTGATTGGTCTCACAGGCTAGAGGAGAAAAAAATTTGAAAAAATAATTAGGAATTCATATTTTGCTGGATTATTTTTCATAATATCTTATACTGAACTATTATTTCATTGTTTTTATTATATTAAAA